GGGGCCTAATTTATACGGGAAATGCTTACTATGACATCACACAAAAATATAAGTTTTTCAAATTACCACAACATGAAATGATTTGCTTTTTAAACTGTTGGATAGCTTTAAACTACATCAATACTTATTATTGCATGCATTTTTGTCGTTGGTTAAATCCCACAAAGCAATATATAAACAATTCACTGATCGCAATACACTTGTCAATGTGACGTCATATCGTAAAATTTGACGCAGTTTGTATGCAGTGAGAGGCGGATCAAGTTACATTTTAAATAATGAAAAATGTATTTTGTAATTAAATAAAATATTATTTGCAGATATATAAGAGGCCATTAACTTGGATGCGATGTCTATTTTATGATTTTATTCATATACCTCCCGTACATTCTCTAGAAAAGTGTTGATGAGGCCAAACTCTGTTGGTCTGAGACCTTTAAAGTCGATATTTGCAGCGTAGTGTAGTCAGAACAATTTCATTGATAAGTCATCTGGCTATAACTCCAGCATACCGCAGTCAATTGCAAATGGTCTCGTTTGATATTCTTTGCAGTTAGATAATGGTGAAGACGACATCAGTGTAGAACATATTATTGATAAAAATTCTGCAAACCACTGAAGCGATCCTGTGTTGCTGATGACACGCACGGTCTGCCATATTTTTCAGTGATCGTTTCTTGTATCATGCTGTTGGTCTCTGTTAAATAGGTAAAATATAGTGCTTTGTGCTACATTAGAACCTATTGCAGTTGTAGATTGTGGTACACTTGCTTCCAGTCGCCCAATTTCCTTTCTTACGATGTGCAACATCGAGATGCAACATTTTTAGCGTCAATTTTTAGAAAAAACAGAATCAAAAATATAAAACCCTAGCTTTTGAAAGATCTTTTTGACCTGAAGCTTGTGGATCAGAAACAAACCAAAGAAAATGTTAAAAGAGCAGATTTTCACAATTTGCATATTTCCGACTTTTTATAAGTGATGTTTGTAGAATGACAGTTAACAATAGCATTAAAAATAATGCATTTTACTTGAACAAATCACATACATCTACAAAAAATCGTATGAGAAAACTATTTTACATTATTGAGGGTATTCTTCCTAGAATGCATTTTTTTAAACCGTATACTTGGTATATTTTAAAACTTAAGTCCATTATTATTACTTTTATCACAAAAGAAATATCTTTTAAGTCCTTGATAATTCAAAAATTCAAGCTAAATTCATTTTTGTATAGTAATTTTGAGAAGTAGAAAAAAGGGATATTTTCATACTCCACCATTCCGACAAAAATATAGAATCTGCTATATTGCAAACTCAGGTTATCATTTCTATTTAAAATTGTACTTTATGAGAAGGAAAGAGAAATATTTTCTTTCAAATCCCTTACATCTAATTATATGATATACAAGCAAATATATTTTGAAATAGAATATCTTATTTAGTCAGAAACTAGACAAGAATCCCTCCTTAATATCATTAACTATGTAGCAAATAGTCTCTTAAAAACGTACTTAATATTTACAGAATTTAAGTGTTCAAAACTTTGCATTTTTATTGAACTCTATGTTTGCATAACGTAAACAAGTATTTAGAAACAATCAGAATGCGAGCATTTAATTCAAAACGCGCCGTCGTAAACAAAAAAATGTCATCTGTTTAACAGATCAACGACAAAACTGATAATGGGTAGTGGTAGCAAGGTAAGATGTGTCTATTTGAAATTATTAATCAATGATTCAGTGCCTTTAATCCTCATTAAAAAAAACTATTAAGCTAATCATAACGCTGGAAGCACCTTGTTTAACCGCTACAGAGAACCGAAGAGTCGCTTTTAACACCGGGAAGAATCAAAAACCCTCGCTTCAAAATGAGCCAAAAGATAGGTCAGGCCTTTTTGTAACTGCTATTTGCACAAATGTTATATTGCACAGAGCTATACGATAACTACATGTATAAGGAACATATTCCTTTTAGGCTGCCTTGCTTATCCAAACGCTTCGGATCTATTAGCAGTATTCACGACGTCGGTGACGGATATAAATATGCATTCAAGAATATACACATGTATAACTACATGTACATAGTATGTAATCCATATGTGTTATTGTTTTGATGATCTTCATTGTTTTGAAGATTAGGATGTGGAAAAAACTCATAAAAGTAATGCACGGGAACGATTTGTAATCTTTTCATTTTATTTTGAAAGAACGTTAATGAGGAGTGCGGTGATGCGCATTCCCCAAACTTCTTGATGTTTTCTACCACATCTTGTCTGTTTCAATCTGAAAATCTCTATACCCATTCTGTGTCATTGCATGTGCCAGCATGACGTGGTTATGCATTGGATTTGATGCTATATGGCCACAATAGTAATTTCTCTGAAAGAAAATATACGAACAAGGTAGGAAATCTTATTTACTGCAATAATACTGCCTCTCGATCAAAAAAGTTCTTTTTGCTATTTTTGCGATCGAAAATTCATAAAATTTAATAAATGCTTTTTCTTACCATGGCTTTTCAAGACATTTAAAACCTTGTTTTTTTTAATATAAACATTTTGATTCAAATGGTTTTATCACTTAATATTTTTCTTGTCCGTGTGTTTTTCAGACAAAGGTTGTGATTTTTCTTCTTATTGTTCCAAGTAAATACAAAGTATGTAAATGTATGATCTATTATCATTTAAGACCATATCTCATAAGTCATGAACTTATTGAATGTGCATTAATTGGAGTTGCTTGCAAATAAAATGATTTAAATTATGATTCTGTTGTTCATTATGACATTTTTAAAAAATATGTTATATTAGTCTCCCCCCCCCAAAAAAAAAAAACAACTTTGCATCCCTATAGTATTATTTCACTCTATCACCGGTATCTGAAGCAGATTAACTTAGGTCGGCTCTACCAAATAATGCTGGAAAATCACTTTGACTAATTCTAATGGTTCAATTAGTCTAAAAAAAAATATTTAAATACATTAAAGAATTATTTCCTCTTTATTCCCACATTAAATTTTGTTCCTGCATTGTGGCCCACCTTAACTTTGAAACAAGACTCAAATATACTTGAATATACACTACCTAAAGATCTTTGCATACTTATAGGACTGGTCATGACTCAATTAAGAAAAACAAATTACCCTTATCAATCTACACAAAATTTTATCAATTTTGGTACATCATTGCATAAGTTTGAATGAAGAATTATAATATATGTGGCTAGGAATAAATTTATTTATTTTACTTATTTATACAAGACTTTCGTTGTCATTTTCATGATCTTAGAAAAGTTTATATCTTCTGTCCTTAAAACTTCTAACTCCTATCTAGTAGCTGCATTCGACCCCGGTACTTGATCTAGCATATTGTTAATTGGTACTATATCAAGATACTTGCATATTGATATGCCTATTATAATGAAGAATAGTAACGATTGTAATAGACTATTTTAGGAACAAAAATTCCTGTCTTAAATTTAGAATACACGAAATTGGAAAATATATTGTTTAAACAGTTCTAAAGAGACAGGTACATGTATATTGAACAGAAAATTTGAAAAAAACGATACTGAGAGTACAAAAATAAACCCAGAGCGAATGCGGGCAGTCCTTCAGAGTTATGTGTAATTTAAGTAATTAAAAGGAAGAATTATTTTCTTCCTTGCTTCACCAGTAAATCGGCTTTATTACATTAATATTCATTTATAAATTTAACTTTTACAATGAATTTCTACTTGTACCACGTCACAAAATACTCAATCCTTTGCTTAATTAATTGTGATAGCACCTTTTCTCCAATTGTAATAATAAAGTACACTTAAACTGATTTTTATTTTCTGGTGTTGTGATTTGCTCCACTGCATTTTCATATTAATGCGCTTCGGTGCAGTCACGTTCGCATAAAGCAGCTAAAGAAATCATGCCCAAACTCCTGGGCGATTTAAAAGTTAGAAACTCAGATATATATGGATTCTCAGGTAGGTTTTATCTTATATTGATTTTATTTTACACGAAATCTTTCAATATAAGAACTATAGCATAAGGAAAAAAGTTCGTTAAAGATCAATAATTAGAGGTTAATGTTATAGTAGGACAGTAGTTTGGTAGTAGGTTGTGTTAAATGAAAGATATTTTATAATGTATATTTCTGACAATTTAACGTTTACGAAGCACTGTGAGTAAAGTAGAAATTCTTATTGGGTTGATCGACACGTTTATTCTTATTTCATACAGATTTTAAGTCTGCTAGTCACCTTGACCCTGTAGTATTACACGTATTACTGTACGCACATACAATGTCGTAATTTTTCTGATCCATTTAACTGTTTAAATAGTTTTGTAAACAGGTAATTTGGGTCAAGAATTTTTGCTGCGAACTTTAATTTTACAGAAAAGTAGATATATATGCAGGGCAATAGTTCTAAAGTAGTTCTAAAGAAAATTTCGGGACATTAGAGAGAGAGAGAGAGAGAGAGAGAGAGAGAGAGAGATTATTAAAGAGTCAGGGATCTAAGTCTGTCTGTAGTTGAAATTTTATATTTTTTAAAAGAGCTGTGTATGTAATGCATGTATTACATATATATATTGGATTAAGCAAAGCTGTATTCAACAAAAAGAATTTTATCTAACAGGTTAGTTAAAAGAACTGTTAATACCAACCCTTCCTTCACACGTTGTAGGACTCTCGTTTTTGAAAGGCATTGTTGAAAAGAATTATAAGATGTGGAGAATATAAGTAAAAATAATGAAACATACTGAGACGTCTAAAGTTAGAGAGTGATCTTCAAACAAATTGGGATGTAAAAAGAAACTATACAAGATAGTTTTGGAGCAGATAAAGAAATCCATTATAATATCTTGTTCAAAAGTGTAGTTTTATAATTAACCATTGAGATATCTGTGTAATTTCATAAGGAAATAATAGGTTTTTTTTTTTCATTCGCAGAAGATAAAAATTAGGTCTGACTATTCCACTACATCAACTCAACTGCAAGGCATTGAGAATTCAACAACATCGACACAAGCAGCAACACATTATGGCTTTATCTACTCTTACTGCACCTCCGTGTAGAGCGGCTGCGATTACAGGAACTACGTCTATTGTGTCACCAGAGGAAACAAATTTTCTACGATTTGTCAATCTTGTCCTGAAAAGAGCACCAAAGGCCCTTAGGGCCCATTTTGATACAGTTCATCTTCCAAGTAACCTTGTTACTGACCTAGCGACACAGAGAACTACGTTGTTATGCTTAAAAGCTAGAAAAGTAGTAAACCAGGTCCAGTTGGACACACTATATGGAGGTAAATTTGAAGGCAATGTCAGAGAAAGTAGTTAAACATGTTCATTTCAATATCAAAACACCTGCACTACTTCAAAAATAACATTTTATGATAAATTTATTTAGTAATTTTAAATAGTACATGAGCAGAAAAAGCGGGGGATAGGGGTCTGCAGGCGGATCAGAAGGTTCTAACCGCCCCCCCCCCCCCCACTTCATTTGCGATTACATTTTTTGTAAAGAAAATGATCGCAAATATCTTTGCAATCTTTGTGTCAATTTAAAACTTAATGATAATTTTTAAAGAGATATCTCTCTTTCTCTCTCTCTCACCTAACATTTCCAAATTTCATTTTAGTTAAAAATCCTGTGTCAAAAGATTTTGATGTTACACTTTTAATCTGCCTTTTAGGAAACATGAGTCCATCTACACCAGCACCAGCAGGTGGATTTGATATTTTACCCAATCAACAAGACATTAGTGTTGGTGCTGATTTAGCAAGAATAAAGTTTTACAGAAACAAAGTTGCCCATTCAGCAGATGCAAAGATGGACACAAATGAATTTAATACTAGCTGGACAGATGTAGAGGGGGTAAGCAAAACTATTTTTAGCAACATCAAAAAAATCTGAAAATTCATTGATAACAGAGAAAAGACATGTTACCTTACATTATAAAAAGATTAATTCAAGGAAAATTTATGACACATTTTCTACCAACTTTCATATTTCTTGCGTGCACTACCTGTGAAAAGACATTTCTGAATTCACCATTGTTTTTGTCCTCGGCCTTAAAAGTCTTTTCAAATATTTAAACCTTGGCCGAATCTTTTATATCTGAAAAGACAGGGCTTCCATCATGTTTCTTCACATCAATTTTAATTTCCTACACAAAGGACTTGTGTTTAATTCAGGTTGAAAATGAAATCTTTTTCAGGCGATTGGAAGACTTGGGGACCCTTCAATACTGAATGAAACAAAAATTTTAAGATTCTAGCCAATTGATGAATCTGAGAGAGAACTTCTTTTGGAGCTTCTTTTGGAAATTAAACAATTGAGGATGGAACAGTCAGACACAATCCCTTGGAATGTTAGAGGTGATCCTTGTATACAAATAAAATGCAAATAAAAAAATGCAGAATTATTTTTTTTCTACTCTTAAAGTAATAGTCGTCTGAAGTAATAACTTTGCTTTAACTCTTACTTTGTTAATTTCTGTCAAACATCCATAAATGATCAATTTATTTTTTTAGAACTGAAAAGATTGATGATTTATTATATGGGACATAAAAAAAATCAATATTTTTAATTGTTAATTGTTTTTAATTTGTCAAAATCAAAAAAAAAAAGAAATAAAAAAATAATAATAATAATTAAAAAAAAATAAAATAATAAAAAATAAGAAATAAATAGAGAGATTATATTAATGGTGTTTTGCTTTTTAATCATATGTAGAGTTAATTGAAGAAAAACTAGTGTCCTGGGAAGAAGAAGATCAGGTTTTTGTAGAAATAAAAGCGTCCATAGCTGTTGAAAACATTATTAAAGAACATCCATGTGTTGTGTTGGTTGGCCATCCAGGATCAGGAAAATCAGCCATCATTCATCACATAGCCTAAAAAATGGGAAAAGAGGGATTTTCTATCATTCCTATTAACCGTCCCGATGAAATTACGAGCTATTACGACCGAAAAAATCCACAAGTCTTTGTGATTGATGATCCGTGTGGGGAATTTATTGTTGATGAACAAGCAGATAATGTATGGGTGAAGTATTCGAAAGACATCCAAACATGTTTGAATTTTCAACAAAAGGAAGATCAAGTTAAATCAAAACTTTTCAAAACTTTTAGTTTCATGTCGTTTTGTTCTAAGTCTTAGTCGAACATTTCGTGTGATAAAGATATTCTCCAATTCCATAATCAGTTTAGAAAATCATGAAAACCAGTTATCTGTAAGTGAGAAAAAGCAAATACTGTCTGCTCACGTTCAACATGAAGTACGCTTGTCTCAGCTGGTTTTCAAGAAAAATTTTGATTGCTTTCCATACCTTTGTAAAATTTATGGTAATGCATTTACTGATTCAGCATGCATGGAGGCCTTTTTTGAAAATCCCTTCATTGAATTGGTCTCTAAACTCGATGTAATGGTTAGTGACCCTAGGTCAGAAGCCATTCATGAATACTGCGGTCTAGTTTGTTGTGCTCTTGCAGAGAGAAAAGTAAATTCATTTGTATTGAATAGTAAGGAAAATGTAGCTGATAGACATCTTCAAGAAATTCTGAATGCTTGTGACAGGAATATTGATTCCTCGAATCTACTCTCAGCACTGAAAAGGCTGAGTGGTAAATACGTCAGAAAGGTGGGTTGCACATTTTCGCTTATACATTCAAAACTTTTAGAAGTCATTGTGTGGCATTTTGGAAAAGGGTGGCCTGAAACATTGATTCTTCACTCATCTACGGAAATTATTAAAACAGACTTAGACCTCTGGGAAGACTACAGGAGGATTTGGATTACAAAGAAGACCTTACTCTTTTAGAATTAGACAAGAAGTTGTTGAAATTCTATGCTAAAAGAATACAGAATGATATCAGTCAAGGAAATTTCAGAAATATATTTAAAAACCCGTGGATGCCAAATTCTTTAATAGAAACTTGTCCTTGTCTGTTTGACCTGTTAGTGGAGGAAAATATTTTAGAAGAAACGCTAATTTTAAAAACAAATGGTCGTTTGTCATCAAGTAACATTGAAGCATATGCCTCATTTTCGAAAGAAGATTTATTGGGAAACAGCCGAATTGCGTTTCTTCATTTAACAATCGCTTACAACTGGGCAGCATTAAAAAAAAAACTTTTTGAATCGCGGAATGATGTTTTGTTTGAAATCTTATTTGTGCAACGAGCAAGCATACCACATTTAGCTATTTTAAGTGAAAATATCGAGATTGTACAAAGGAGTTTTAAACATTACACTGAGATTTTTGGCAGCCTTTGTGACTTTATTAATTTTGGAATGAAGTATGATGCTACCTGTTTGTATTGTGGTACAAATCTGAAAGATTCGAGACATAATCTGTATTGTCCAGTGATACAAGTTCCCATACCTCTACTTGTTTGTTATACTGGTACGTTAGAAATATTGGAATACCTCATCCAAAATAAAATTTGCTCACAAAAGGACCTCATTTCGGATTATCAACTCTTTGATGAAAGAGCTTCCCCATTAATGGTGACCAGTATGAATGGATATTGCGGTTTTGTTCGTTATTTACTTCAACAAGGGGCATCTGTGAACTTTCAGAATCAAGATGGCATTTCACCTCTTCATGAAGCTTGTCAGGGAAGACATTGTGAAGTAATAAAGATATTACTTTCCAATGATGCTAATGTTAATTTAAAAGATATCGATGGAGAAACGCCCCTTTCCCTCGCCTGTAAACATGATTTCATAGAAATTGTTGACCAACTCTTATGTAATGGAGCAGACATTAATTTACAAGACTCCCTGGGATTGACACCAATACATAAGTCTATATCTGAAGGGCACATAAGGACTGTTCAATCCCTTATTGAAAGAGGATGTGATATTAACATAACTTCTAAGAGAGGTGATACTCCTTTTACTCTGGCTTGCTATTTTGGAGATCGTGCTATCGTGGAATTGTTTATTAAGAAAGGAATAAACAGGCAACAATTACAGGATGGGATGCAGAAAGCATGCGTAAAAGGATATAAAACTATAATTTCAATACTTTTGCAGCACGGAGCGGAGATAAATTCTAAAAATACTCAAGGTCTTTCAGCTCTCCACATTAGCTGTGCACAAAACAATTCAGATCTTGTTAGTTATCTTTTCTCAAAGGGGGCGCTTGCAAATATTCCATCAGACGATAAACAAACACCTCTTCATTTTGCAGCAAAGCATTTGTCGGTAAAATGTTTATCAGTTCTTTTAGAAAACAAGGCAGAAATAAATGCAGTTGATAACAAAGAAAGAACAGCTCTTCATTATTCTTTAACAGATTCTGATGTATACTTTAAGAAGAAAGTGGAAATGAAAAATGAACATGAAAGAGGAAGAGAAAATGATATCTTACAGGATTTAATCTTTGATGAAGAAATAACAGCAACTAACCTGACAACAAACAGTAGATATTTTCCCGTCAATAATGAGTCTGAAAAAAATCCTCATTCTGACCAAGAAGTTCTTAAGAAGGTTAAAAAAATTACAGATATTCTTATTGAGAATAAAATCGATCTAAATATAGCAGACATCGATGGCCGTTCACCCATACATACAGCATGTTCAGGAAATTATCCGGAAATTGTTAAAACACTTATTCATAATAAAGTAAATGTGAATACATTCGACAAAGATAATTGCAATCCTCTGCATACAGCATGCGAAAAATGCCACTTCCTTTCAGTTCAATTGCTTGTAAAGAACGGAGGAAACATCAATGCTACAAATTCAAAAGGTTCCAGTCCACTTCATTTAGCTTGCGTAAGCGGAAATTTGGAGATTGTGACAACACTAGTAGAATGTGGTGCAAATGTTAATATTTCGGACAAAACTGGGTCTACTTCTTTACATATTGCAGTAAAGAATACACATCGAGATGCTATTTTATTTCTGATATCTAAAGGGGCAAACGTTAATTCAAGAGATAATGATGGTTTTACCGCACTGATATTGTGTTGTCGCCAAAATTACAAGGATGTCGTTGAGGAATTGTTGAAGTCTGGGGCTGATATTGATATAGAAATAAGCGAAGGATTAAATGCTCTGACCACGGCAATAACGTATCATCATTATGACATTTGTGATACTTTGTCTGAAAAAGGATCTCATTTGCATGAAAGGAATTTTCGGTATTTGTTACAATGTTTTATGCATACACATGACGTTTGTAAGTTTTTGGACAAATATGAAAGTACAGTTAATAAGTACAGAAATAAAGAGGACCAGTCACTTCTACATTTGGCAACACTTGACAACAATATCTGTTGGATCAGCAGTCTACTTAATAAGACAAAGTTATTAAAAGCACTGGACAACAAAGGACAAACTGCTTTCGTATACGCGATATACAAGGAACTTGGTAGCATTGTTAAATTGTTTCTAGAAAGATGCACGTCTGGAGGGACTATTACTGCAGATCTACAAAGAGCAAACGAGATAGGCCATTGTTTTTTCATAGAAAAATTGTTTAAAATTGCTAAGCTACATTTTGGTGAATTCGAAATTGTGTTCGATAGTAGAAATCATGACATTGTACGAAAATTTATGAAAAATATAACCTGCAGCTCTGCACGTTATTCTCTTGCATGTGACAATTTAATTACAGAAGCTTTAAAACACGGCAAGTATTTTGATATGTACAATATTCTTCTTGCAAAGCTTCCTGATGAATAATGGAATCTCCACAAGAGCACAATACCTTGTCTCTGTCCAGAACGTAGAGAAACGAGTTGTGAGAACTGGATAAGACACGTGGATGCTATAAAAAAATCGGTTGGATCTTTAGCTTTAGGTCGAAACATCGCCGAATTCGAAATTTGGCCGCTTGTGTTTTTAAGAGAAGATATCTATACACGGATTCAGTTCAGTTTTGAGAGAGGGGGATTCCAATCTATGTGGAATAAAGATTCGGATTACGTGCCTCTCACAGATTCTATTGGAAATACATTATTGCACTATAGCCTCTTAATGTCAGAAAGCATTGATGATAGTTGGTTTTCTTTTGATAATCTCCTCCATTCAAGCCATTCAGAGCTTGCTCAGCTATGTTAAGGAAGGCCTGAGTTCACATCTGTGATGCACCGTATGTGAGTTTCATTGTGACGTCATTGAAAATTTAACAAGCGACAAAAATCTATTTAACCACATGATAATGCGTAAATAACATCTTGCATTCATTTATTTTATCAATTATTTAAAAAAGCATGTAAAATCACAACATCTGATAACTATACTGCCGAGTTATTAGAAGCAAATCTTGCTTCATAAATGACGTCACTAGCCTTGACTTGACGCAGTACAAGTGATCAAGAGGCGTGGATCCATTGGTTTAATAATTACAAAAATGCTTAAATAAATATTAAACCATTGCTAATGTTTAAATCTAATCAATAAAATTAAAAGGAAATGATTTCTTTAAAACAATAATGTAGATTATTAATATATCCAGGTGCTATGGAGCTGCACAAAGACAAAGTATGTCAAGAATATCGCTAACACGATGAGTGTATACCTGATTAAGCTCAAAAGTGCAAGGGCATAGACTAGACTGTTTGAGCTGAAATATGGAATATCAATTGCTTATTTCTTATATATTTTGAAAAGTGCTGGGAGCTGATTCTGATCGGCATAACATTATTTTTATTAATGACAGAATTTAAGCGAAGTGGAAATTCTGGGTTATTAAACGCATGTTCGGCAAAATTACGAGTATTTCCGAAACAGCTCAAACTAGCTCCCAGCACTTTTCGGGAAGCCGATGTTAATCTTTTTTAATATGTATCAATTTTTTTCTCTAAAAACATGGGTATGCCCTTGCACTAGCCCCATTTTCTACATTCAGTTGAACAATTCTATTTTTATACAAGTCACGTGACACACAGCTGATACATGCGATGTAACTGGTACTGAGTAAGCCACAAACCTATCCATTATGGATATCTATATTACCTGTCCTACATTTTTTACAGTTACTTTGTTACAAAGATTTTTAAAAATAATACGTATTAAGCATGTACGTAAGATCGCATTTTCCATTTCCTTCCTTAACATAGCCGAGTGTAAATCGACAGAACTTAGCAGGTTGTACACCCCTTCATTATGCAATACGAAGTCCTACCAAAATTTTAAAACTAATAGGTTTCGGTGCAGATATTGAAATGAAAGATAAGTCTGGTCGGTTCTACAGTATGCTCTAGCTTGTGATTTTCAGGACACAAAAAAAATCCTGGAGAGTTATATTAACAACAGATCTTCAAATTAAAATAATACGTTATATAAACGCGTTTATTAATTATTAGGAAGAATAAAAATTGAACTATAGTTTATAAGAGGATGTTAAAAACATATAAAATAAAAACAAAAAAGTCGGAGATCGTATTGTATCTGTATAAATCATTTGCAAAATATTAATTTGAGATAAACAGGAAGAAACAAGACCTTTCAGTTAAAACTGAAAGGCAGCTTTTTGTGACTTTTCAGTTACCTTTCAGTTACAATTAAAATATTTTTCGATCACCATTCCGCGAGAAAATTTCGGTTATCTTTCGGTGACCATTCCGTCCCCTTTCCGTCATCTTTCAGTGAATTTTCAGTCGTCGTAATTCAACGACTATTTCATTGGATTTTCATTCATTTATCAGTTAACAATTTAATAAAATTATTCTTTAAATGTGTTTCTGTTTTCTAATTGTGATAAGAATATTCAGGTACATAGAACAGATGTTCAAATGTCTTTAAACTGTTTCCTAAAATGTTAAATTGTGATTATACCGTATAGGGGGAATTTTTAGCAGGATGCTAACTTTGGCTTATTTTAGCGGTTTTGAAGTAGCCCGCTAAAATTTTAATCGCTAAATTTGCACCCTTGCCTATAAGTACTAAAATGAAAAAAATAATAAAGTTGACCAGTCTGTTGTTAAACAATATTATGAATAAATCTTACATCTGGCGTTGGTTTTTCCTCAAACTCATGTCTAAAACGGTATTCAAACATATATTAAAGGTACTGAAAAATCATCTAGAAGATGAAGTTCCTCTCTTCTACAACATCATGGAACTGTGTATTCGCCAAAAAATGTTGATTAAAAAATGTATGTGTACATATAATTTAATTAAACTTAAAGATAACAATTCAATTGTTCTCATAAAATTCAAAATGATTTTCGAATTTCTAATTTGTTGCATGAACGATTCAAAAAAAAAAAAATCATTCATATGATAAAAAATAATGATACAATATTCGTATCAGAATTTAATTAACTGACGTAAAATTGTCTTGTTTTTTCTTTCTGTAAAATTTCTAAATCAGTGATGAATATTTTCAAAAGCTAATTCGCTTAGATAAGTTGTTACATGTAAATGAATAAACAATCGGTCGATCTGAAAAAAAAAATCGAGGATATCTGTCAAAATAAACAAGAAAAAAAAGTTTTCTTATTTTTTCATTATTCTTATGTTCATCTAACACAGTGTATAATGCAGTTCGTTTTCCTGAAATGGTCTCGCAGTGAAAGAAGAGACAGAATTCATTTTTTAAACCTCTTGTGAAATATTGTAATTTTTGTTTCTTAATTGCAAAATCCGCGCAATTAATATAGAAAATACAAAATGTATACAAGATATATGCACATCGCCAAGCTCTTCTATAAAACAGGTAAACTGGGTGTTCCAATTCGATATCTACAAATTTGTTGAATTTAATACCTCTATTTATTATAGAGGTATTGTGCACCCTGGACGTGGAGACCATTCCTTCGGATGAAACCGTATAAACCGAGGTCCCGTGTCGCAGTAGGGGCTGGCACGGAAAAGATCCCTCACTGCTCAATGGCCGTAAGTGCCGAATATAGGACAAAATTTGCAGCTCTCCACTGGCAAGTGGTGGCGTCTCCATATGAGTGAAAAATTCTCTAGAGGGACGTTAAACAACATACAAACAAACAAAAAATATTATGCACCCTTGTTCGACCACGGGATTATCCTAGCAACTTGTTTTTCTTACAATCACTTTTTTCATTATCTATTTCGAAAATAAATTAATTTAATACCAGTGCATTAGGAAAATGTGAAATGAAATCACTTCGTTAAAAAATAAGACGATTATTTAATAAAAGATACAACTGAAATTAGACTGAAAGGACGCTGAATTATATCTGCCATTCAGGTGACTGAATTGTGAATGAAAGATCAAGGAAAAATCATGGGAAAGAATCTTAACCGTGACCTTTCAGTGACCATTCCGTCCCCTTTCCGTCATCTTTTAGTGACTTTTCAGTCGTCGTAATTCAACGACTATCTCATCGGATTTTCATTGATTTATCAGTTAACAATTTAATAAAATTATTCTTTAAGTCTGTTTCTGTTTTCTAATTGTGATAAGAATATTCAGGTACATAGAACAGATGTTCAAATGTCTTTAAACTGTTTCCTAAAATGTTAAATTGTGATTATACCGTATAGGGGGAATTTTTAGCGGGATGCTAACTTTGGCTTATTTTAGCGGTTTTGAAGTAGCCCGCTAAACTTTAATCGATAAATTTGCACCCTTGCCTATAAGTACTAAAAATGAAAAAAAAAAATAATAAGGTTGACCAGTCTGTTGTTAAACAATATTATGAATGAATCTTACATCTGGCGTTGGTTTTTCCTCAAACTCATGTCTAAATCGGTATTCAAACATATATTAAAGGTACTGAAAAATCATCTAGAAGATGAAGTTCCTCTCTTCTACAACATCATGGAACTGTGTATTCGCCAAAAAATGTTGATTAAAAAATGTATGTGTACATATAATTTAATTAAAATTGACGATAACAATTCAACTGTTGTCTCATAAAAATCAAAATGATTTTCGAATTTCTAATTTGTTGCATGAACGATTCAGAAAAAAAAATCATTCATATGATAAAAAATAATGATACAATATTCGTATCAGAATTTAATTAACTGACGTAAAATTGTCTTGTTTTTTCTTTCTGTAAAATTTCTAAATCAGTGATAAATATTTTCACAAGCTAATTCGCTTAAATAAGTTGTTACAAGGAAATGAATAAACAATCGGTCGATCTGAAAATAAAAATCGAGGATATCGGTGAAAATAAACAAGGAAAAAAGTTTTCTTATTTTTTCAATATTCTTATGTCCATCTAACACAGTGTATAATGCAGTTCGTTTTCCTGAAAAGGTCTCGCAGTGAAAGAAGAGACAGAATTCATTTTTTAAATCTCTTGTGAAATATTGTAAATTTTGTTTCTTAATTGCAAAATCCGCGCAATTAATATAGAAAATACAAAATGTATACAAGATATATACACATCACCAAGCTCTTCGATAAAACAGGTGAACTTGGTGTCCCAATTGGATATCTACAAATTTGTTGAATTTAATACCTCTATTTATTACAGAGGTATTATGCACCCTTGTTCGACCCCGGGATTATCCTAGCAACTTGTTTTTCTTACAATCACTTTTTTCATTATTTTATTTCGAAAATAAATTAATTTAATACCAGTGCATTAGGAAAATGTGAAATGAAATCACTTCGTTAAAAAATAAGACGATTATCTAATAAAAGATACAACTGAAATTAAACTGAAAGGACACTGAAATATATCTGTCATTCAGGTGACTGAATTGTGAATGAAAGATCAAGGAAAAATCATCCGAAAGGATCT